TGTAATATGTTTTCTCTTATCAATGAAATTTTACCATTGCTATTAGAAAAATAATTTTATTTATCAAATTGGAAACATCATAACAATGCTCTAACTAAAGGATTATATAGATTGCAATTTTGTGTGTTAATATCAGGATAGAAAAAAAAAATCTCTAAAACACTATCTTGTCCATTTATGCATTTGTTTCTCTGAGTTAATCATTCTGTAGGATGAGGATTTATACTTCACTTTTTTAACATGGGAGTTTTAACGAAACACTTCAGGTACTGTTCATTTTTAACGAAAAATCACATTTTTACATTTCCCTGATACTATTCACTAAACCTTTATTTATCATTTTTCATTAAAACTGAAGTTTTGTTTGGACGTTTCGTTACTTTTCCTTTTTAACATTTGATATCATAAAAGGATGCAATAACCCTTTTTCTTCCACTAACCAGGGATCTAAAAAAACCACTCTTCAAATTTCATTTGACTTGGAACTATCTATACCTTTACATGTGCCAAATATGAATAGCAACTTTTACTTACGTATTAGACTGAATTGGTTTGAGCATGATTGGATTGATTGGATTGAGTATGAAAGATTTTGAAAACTGGGATTCATTTGGAATTTAAGGTTTAGGGCCGTAGTTCAAAGTTGAGGCCTTCTCCTCCATCTGATTCTGATATGGAGGACTTGACAGAAAACTACAGCAAGCTCAATTTGGCTCTGAGTGTGATGCACGAGTGTTTCGAGCCTTCTCAGGATCCTTACAAGAAGAGTGACATTGTCGAGGACATTATTTTCAACAGAGAATCGGACCTGAGCCGCTTGAACTTCAGAAGCTTTTACACAGTGCTTTTGGAGAGAGATGTGGAAGTGAACACCGCGGGTAGCCTGAGGATCTACAGTGAGTTGGCGGAAGTACCTCTGGTGGCAACTAGGTTCCATTATCGTAGACAAGGAATGTGTCGTGTTATGAGGGATGAGCTCGAAAACCAGCTCGTGAACTTGGGAGTTGAGAGACTGGTTTTGCCTTCCGCTTCTAGCACACTGGATACATGGACTAGCACTTCATTTGGGTTTTCAAAGATGACACCTAATGAGAGGATGCAGTTTCTCAATTATACTTTCATGGATTTCCAGGGCACTATCTTGTGCAATAAAGTATTGAAACAGGCAAACTCTACGACACAAGCAACCATACCGTTCGGAGGAAGTATCAAATTTGATGGATCGCCCGTTGCCACCTCCACAGTAACTCAGGCAGAAGACAATCAGCCGGAGAATGGAGCTTCAGACCAAGAATTGGGGAACGTTGCCTCCGGTGACAAGTTTTTGATTGATGTTGACTGCATGCTGTTGGACAACAACGAACCTAGTTTCTCGGCGTGATACAACGAACAGAATTTTAGGTTGATTCCAGGATTTTGTTAGGGTGTAACTATATAAGATAACTGAACAAATTATCAAGGGAAATATTTGACGGATACATTCGGTAATTATGTACAATTTTTTAATGTGTTATTAAACTAAATATCACTTATCAAATTTTATTTTTCATTCATAACAAACTCAGTTTTTCTTCTTTTAATCATCAGTGCACAAGTTTTTCCATGAATTTTTCCCTTGATTCTACTTTAAGAATGTGTTTAAATGTACATATATATACACGCCGCAAGAAAATATAAACTTACTAATCATTGTGCCCATCAAATACAGCCTCCTAGATCTAAAAGCACAACAGGAAACTCAGAGAAAGACAAAGGTGCTCTACCTAGCGGAAATGAGGATCACAAGCACAGCGGATGCTAGTCACTCCAATTATCCTCATCCTTGGATGGTCCTTTATCCTGCATTTCCAAACATGCATAAGATACAAGCCGCTAAGCAACTAAGAAGGTTAGATGCACAAAATCATCAGGTGTCCCACCTCATCGGAAACCATTCTGGGCGGCAACCAAACTAGAATTTGTCTATCATTGCCACCAGTGTACAATTCCTGCAATGAGAGACATGAAGTACAATTCATACAGGATTAAAAAATAATCAATAATCCATAGATAACAAGTGAGCTCATGGAATAAATAAATGGATGGAGGAAAACTTCAACAGGCTTTGTGATTTTAAATCTCAATCTCATCTTAGAACAGTTGGAAAAAGGGCTTACAACTCCCGTTAACTGACATAGAAGTTGGAGCAACCGACTTTAATATTAAATGCCATTTTAGTTTATAAAGCATTGATTGGAAAAGACCTATAATGCAATGAAGTTATAATTGAAATTTGAAAAAGAGGGAACACGGGACTTATACAAGCAAATAGACATCGCATATAATGGTTGTGCATTCACATTGTATCTTCAGTGTGGATCATCGTATTGGTTGAGATCTCATCACGTTCCATTGTCATAAAAGTCATAGATCCATGCTGTAAGTAAAACCCACTCGCTAGAAGTAGACCATTCCACAGTCATCACACCATCTGCCATCATGAAAATACAGCACTTAGGACCCTCTAGATGCACGAAACTTTATTCTACGTTATATGTTAAAACTTAAACCCAAGAAACAAAACTAAAAACACTTGTACTTTTGTAAACAAAAACTAGAGAACCCAAAGGAAGAATATGAATCTACCAAGAGCAGAAACCTAGCGATACTAAGGTTCTAAGCATGAATCCCGCCAACACGGTGTATTGTAAATTTCCTGCTGTCCACAGTTACAGGGTTCAACCAGAAAATCCAAATGCTACAAATTACAAAATGCTGAGAAAACCGACTAGGCCGGATTGTTTAAAGAAGCAAATTTTCGCAACATTCGTGACTGTCCACCCTAGATTTCAAGAACAACCCCTGCTTATATCCTCAATATTGTCATCCAAAATGTTTCATATGTTCACATAACCATGATAAGAAGTTTAAATTTTGTAACTTTCTATGTATCAAGTGTGCATCAAACGTCGAATTCTATGAATTTTGGGACATACCGCGGTGGCCAGACAAGGTGTGAGCAAAAGTCCCAGAGGCAATATCACAGAGGCGGACTTGAACATCTTCGGTTCCGGCCGCAATGAGCATGTGAGAAGTTGCCAACGGCGACATTGCAGTCCGGTACATCTTCCCCGGCATGTTGAAGTCCATAACTACCTGAGTCGCATTCGTGTCCCAAACATTGATGTGATGATCGTACGACCCCTTCACAAACAGTCCGTTGTCGACGGGATACCACACGGCGGAGGACACCGCGTACTTATGCCCGTGCTCGTGCTGCTTATCCACCGCAAACAGGCACTTATGCCTCGTGACAGCTCCGCCGCCCACGTTATCGGTCCCGCGCTGGACATCAAACATGGCGGCGGAAGCATCGGAGGCGCCGGATAATAGGTACCGGCCCTCCTTCAAATCGAACTGGAGAGAGTTGACGGAGCCTCGGTGAGGGGAGATGATGTCTTTGTGATAGGAGAGTTGGAGCGTTTGGATAACAGGTACCGGCCCTCCGTCAAATCTACATGCTCAATACCTCGAAGGAAAGCTAGTTGCTTTTTAGAGTATGCACCATAAAACCTAATCGATTTGACTTTGCAAAAGAGCCACACCAACCCTCTACATAGCTCTGGGCAACGTCAACTTTCCTAGCTTGGGAAATGAATCCTGAAACATTACAGGCCAATGTGGGGATGTTTTACAACAGGCATAGAAAAAAATATTGGGTCTTCAATAACTTTTATTCATTTGAGCATAAAGAAATGTTCTATTTTGCTTGATAAATTTCAATAGAAGTACTATTAGGGTGTAAATATGTGGATACTCCTATGGTAGAAAAATATCATTTGAGTATTTGCCCAAATCAGCTTCCTGTTAATAGGGGCAGATATCAAAGACTTGTAGTGACGTTAATTTATTTATCTCATACTCATCCTGATATTGCATATGTTGCGAGTGTTGTAAGTTAGTTTATGCACTTGCCTAGGGAAGATCACATAGCTGCGATAATGTGAATTTTGGCATATCTGAAGTCTACCACTGGTAAAGGAATACTTTATGGAAAAACATGGGCATCTAAAAGTTGTGGGGTTTACAGATGCAGATCGGGCTAGCAATGTTACTGATAGACGGTCTACATCTAGGTATTTTACGTTTGTTGGAGGTAATTTGGTTACGTGGCATAGTAAGAAGCAGAAAGTGGTGTCAAGGTTGTCTGCGGAAGCTAAGTATAGAGGTATGGCACACATAATATGTGAACTTCTTTGGTTATGTAAACTTTTGAGATGTCTTGGTTTTGAACTAAAGGAGACTATGTAGCTATATTGTGACAATAAATCTGCATGTAGAGATTGATCGACACTTTGTCAAGGAAAATCTTGAAAAGAAAATTGTCTCTATACCGTTTGTGAGTTCATGAAAGCTTCTTACTCATGCAGTATCTAGTAAGGTTTTTCAAGACTTAATCATCAAGTTAGGCATGTATGATATTTATGCACTAACTTGAAGGAGAGTGTTGATTTTAGTCTTAATTGTAGATGTTATTGGAGTCATGTTTTAAGTATGATGAGAATATGTAATCTTTAGGATTTAGTGTCCTTGTATTTTGCAATTACTGTCCTTATAGAATAAGGTGTCTGTGCCTATATATTGTAAAATCCTATAGGATCCCTCCAACCTCATCTTTCCAAATTCACTCATTTTTCTCTAATTTTAGTACGTACATCATTAGACTCCTTTTATGTCCTTCGTGTTGATCCAAGTTCCAACCACTATTCTTCCATCACACTCATCTTTTATTTATTTATTCTCTCCCCTTCCTTCTCCTGAACGGTTACTGTTAAGTCACGTCAATATTTTATATTAATTTTTTATAATAAGAGAAATATAAAATAAGAGAAAGTAAAAGAATGATATAAAAGTGAATAAGAGAATGTAAACGGATGATATGAAAAGGAATAGAATAAAGAAGGAGAGAATCCTAGTTCCTTTCTTAAACGGTTAAACCTTCCATTCTCGTTATTTTCTACAACCGGCCCCCACTTCATCACTCTTTCTTTTTCTCTTTCTTTCTTTTTATCTTTTGAGTTCTTTTCCTTTTTCACTCACCTTTCACAAAAAAATAGGTGAAATTAATCTCTGTCGCTCACAATTCGCAAAAAAAATTGTAAACCTCAAACAAAGAAATCGCATAAAACCTCAAACCCTCTTATCAACGAAGAGAATTCCCACACAATCGAAGTTTGAAACCAACAAATCAATTTCAAGTGTTAAGCTGCTAGGGTCTGGGTCTTCAAATTCCGACGAGCTGTTTCCATACGAACCGCGGCGCACCGTACCGTGCCATGCCGTCGAACACAATCCTCTCTGCTCTATCTCCGGCGTTCAAGCCATTAAGGTAAGCAATTTCTTATTTATTAAACGAATTAGGGAGTTACATCGGGCTTTTGAATTAGGGATTTACAAATTGGGGATATGGGCATTAATTTTTTATTTAGGGTTTTAATTTTGGAGAAATTAGTAGGCTAGGCAGGGGATTAATTTGATTGCGTCAGAATTTGAGTTTTGGGATTGTTGATCTGTGTTTGTTTTGTTATTGTGTTATTGGGTTGGTTTTGCAGTGATCCGTGGATTCTTGTACGCACTCGGATTGATTAAAATCCAAACAGTCTTAACAGCAGTTGATCTATTCAATCTGATTTCATCTATCATCTCGCACTCAGATTTCTCTATCTTTATTTATCTATTACCTCTAATTTATAACTTTAAAATGTTTGACTGTTTTCCCGCTTTGATCAGTATGAACAAAATTCTTGAGCGGAACCATAAAAGTTGCTATTCCTCACAAGACAATGTTGCTGAGAACGAAACACAGGTGATATTTCAGAATTACCGAGCCTCATCAAAATTCTGTTTGCATTTTTGTGTTTGTATGTGCTGGTGGTGGTATGAGCGTCTACTGACTGTTATACTTGATGGTATATATCCTCTAAGCACGCATGTTGGTTGGAGTCAAATGCAAATTCATAGAATCTGAATTTAAGGTAATCTATATGCATTTCATTTCAAGTTTCGTTCCATAGAATTTGCTTCACCGGTGCAGATGATGTTACAACTGTTTTAATGGCCTGAATGGATGATTTAGAACTGCTTCTTCGTATGCAGATTACCATATGTATTTGAGAGCACAGCTGATGTAAGTTCTCTCTCTCTCTCTCTCTCTCTCTCTCTCTCTCTCTCTCTATGTCTCTCTCTCTGTGCATCGAACTGTTTTGTCTGCCAACTTTGCTTATAACTTACTCTCCTTGCTTTCCCTTTATCAGGAAAATTTTACCGATTGCAAATGATAAATGTTACGAGCATGGGAAAAGCATAACCAATTTTAAATCAGCTTTACAGGTATGCATTGATTCCAGATTCAAACCATCACTTCCGTTTAGCATGTTGTTTATCATTTTGTGATCATAACACCGTCGGGCGGTGTTACTATTGTGAATGTTATGCGAGAAAGCAAAGAAAATTCTAATGGGAGAAAGCAAAGTTAAGGTGAAGATTTTGGTTTGTCCTTTAGCTTTCAATAATTTCACTGCTAATTCGGGGTTTTTCTTCATATGTTTTCCTTCGTGTTTCAACTTCCGATTTCACTCAATTTTATGTATTTGCTGAACGCCTTCTTTGTTTTACAAAATGTTTCTATATTCCCAAATAGTTGTACCAAGAACCAACACTACTTAGATCACACGGATGGTACTTGGACCTAAAAAAAGAATGGTCAAACGGATCTTTTCTCAAAGTCAAATCTCAATTGTACAAATGACTGATTTTTTTAATGTGTTGTTAACGTTTGATCGTTTTATCTTCAAAATATTATTGCTGTATCATTAACATTTGAACACTATATTGCCAATTTTAGTTCTAATCAATTTATTGGCGTCAAGATGATCTTGGAGGCCGTCAATGTACACGCTACTATTAGGCACATATATATATTCAGAACTTTCTACACCTTCAACAATATTTCAAACACTTATGAAAACTAAAAATCAAGCAAAAAATTATTTTAAATTATTCGAAATTTAATTTAAAATGGGCAGAAGATTGTCTTGGTTAAAACCCAAAACCATTACACACAGAAATAACAAACATCTTAACAACGAATATTTACAGTTTTCAAGGAAGAAGACTAACGAATAATCGTTTTATACGATTTTTCATTCTTATATGCGCTCCTTGTATTTCTGGGTTACTATTCCAGTCAAAGCCGTTAATCTTCAACTTAGGGCATCCGTATATAGTTGCAGTTTTCAAGGATGGGAATTTGACAATGCAATTTCCAGAGAAGAAATCTTGCAGACTTGGTAGATCGTCAAGTTCCAAACTTTGCAACTGGCAAAAAGAAATCTCACCATCATTTCCTGCATCATCTCCATCTGATGTCGTTGCCACTATTTCTGTCATTCTTGCACATGCCCCAACGGTCATTCTTCTTAGCTGCTTTAATGTTTTGGCTATCGTATATGTTGCTAAATATTTCAAGTTGCAACAACCAACTACTTCCAAAGTTGTTAAATTCTGGAAGGGAATAGCAGATGACCCTATATCCTTCAATGGAGAACAACCATATTCTTTTGTTGACACTATCTCTTCCATTGATACACGATTTCTAGCCATGGAAGACGATAACACAAAAGTTGAACTATTACAATGGCGCACAACCTGCAGTATTTGTACACTCCATTTTTAAGAGAAGAGAATTCACATTAATTGTTATTATCTAGTCAAATGGTATCTTTAGATAAAAAAAAATTATACCAACAAATATTTCTTAATACGCACTAGATAAAACGAATCACTTCAAATGATCAAATATATGTAAATTTAGCCACACAAAATCTAGGAGTTCTATGGTGGTTGTATCATTTTTCTTTGTAAATTATATCGCTCAAATAAAAATGAAAAAACAAGTACTGCGTAAATGGGAAAGAATGACACTAGTGGCATACCTCCTCAGTAATGATATGCGTATATTGGGCATTGTTTTGGACATAGAGATGCTTGAGTTGTTGAAAATCTTCACTACCTGAGTGGTACGCAACATTATCAGCTCCCTCCGACCCATCCAAATACAAACATTCACATGATCTCTTCAACAACATTTCCAGACCATGGTCCAATTCACAGCCAGTTGGGAGCTTTAGCTGCAATGTGTTGAGGGTTTCACCCATATCGTACCAATTCCACGAAGCACCGATTAATATTTGGTATCTCTTTAACTTGTCAGTGAACAAGTCCCTCGGAATACTGCCAGCATCTGGAACATGTATGCTTAATGCAGCTAAACGAGGCAAGTCCTTCAGTTCTGAAAGGCTAGCATTACTTCTTTCTCCAGTTACTCCTTCGGGCACCCATCCGTTGAAGCTGTCTTTCATTCTCAAGTCTTCTAGACTTGTCAAACGTGATATAACATTAGGTGAAATCACTTTGAGTTTAGAGCACCAGCTTAAATCCAGCAGTCGAAGACGAGTCAATTTCCCTATTTCTTCAGGCAACTCTTCAAACTTGGAATGTGTAAAGCTGAGAATTTCTAGTTGCAATAGCTGTCCGACTAGAGTTATGTCTCCCAAGATGCATTGATCCAAACACAATGTCCGAAGATTTTCTAGTGGAGGCAGCGACGAAACACACGCCCTAGTTAAATCCATAACTTTAAGCTCTTTCATCTCCTCAAAGAAGTTACCTGGGATTTCAAGCAAGTCACCATTAAAGTGCAAATAAAAATACTCCAGTTGTTGGCATTTCAAAACTTCAGGAAGCCTAGGGATGTTTTTGCAAGACAAAGAGATCATTGTGCAATTTTCAGAAAACTCCTTATTGTTTGGCCATTTCTTCAAGACATCTCCTTTTGCACTTAGTAAGGCACCGTGGCCTTTGGATGCAATCGAGATGGCAACATCACGTAACAAATCATGCATTCTGATTGATGTATTGTCCTTGGAGTCAAGTAACAAACAAGAATCTTTTAGCTTTTAAATCTGCGTGTGCAATGCATATCCTGCGTCCTCCATTGAATCGATGTTCTTAAACAAACCCAAACCAATTGAATATTTCAACAAGTCTGTCAGATCAGCATGTCCAAAATGATTTACCAAAATTCCACAGATCAAGAATAGTTGCTTCATCTTTGGATCATCCAATTGATTGTAACTCCACACTAAAGCCGAGTATGCTTGTTTGGCTGTGTCTTCGTTGTCAAACACTTTTAGGCTTCTCAAGGCATCCTTCCATACTGGTAAAGTACTATTTCTTAAAGAGCTTGCGACTGCGACAACGAAAACTGGCAAACCTCCGCATTTTTTGGCTACATCGGTTGCCACAGTTCGTATGTCGGGATTGTTAACAACATCACCTGCTTTCGACTCAAATAAACGCCAAGCTTCTTCCTCGTTTAGAACTCGAAGCTCAAAGTATTTTTGCGACCGCTTCTCTGAGGATAGCAGTTTTCGAGTTCTGGATGTCAAAAGTATTCTACAATTCTGCAGACAAGGAAGTCCTACGGCCTCCAAGTCAATGCTTTCCCAAATGTTGTCTAAAATTACAAGAACTTTCTTGTCTTTTACCCTGTCACATAGACGAGGTGCTCTTACTGACATAGTTTCGCTTTCTTTAACTTTCATACCCAACTTTGTGGCAATTTCTTTTTGAATTCCTTCAAGGTCCGAATTTTGCCCACTTCTAACCATAACCGCATCAGCAAATAACTTTTCTTTTACCACCTGCCTATGGACTTCTTCAACCAGTGTGGTCTTCCCCACGCCTCCCATACCATACACCAAGATCAGGTCCGTATTAGGAGTTCTCAGTTCATCCATGATTTTCTTTACAGTTGAAGTCCTCGAATCAAATGCCTCATAATGTTTGTCAGAAACCATGGATACCTCTTGTGGATAAACTTTGTACGAAATGCTAGCAAAATTTCCTTTTCCCTCGAGTTCAACAACCGCCTGCTCCAGCTTTGTTGATCTCCTGCCTAGCTTGTAACGGTGCACTGGGTTTGGACAAAACCCATGGAGACAGCTCATCCTTGCTTGCGTATCAGGCTTCCATAATTCGTTCGCCTTCTCGGTGATATCATCCACTTCTTTCAGCCACTTCTGGACGTCAGTTTGGATTTTTTCACCTTTGTTTTCAGCTCCAACTATCTCGAGCGCTAGCCGCTCTCTAGCGGCATGTAATTCATTCACTTGATTCTTTAGATTCTCAAGATTTCTTTTGCAGTGAGCTAGGTAACCCACTTGGCGTATAGCTGGTTCAACTGCATACTCGGCAACTTTTCCAACAATTTGAATAACAATCTCCATGCCTGTTGATGAATACAAATTAAATTAGAAAAAAAAGGAGCTGAAGAAATACTTTACTTTTCTAATTGACTTGTGAGTTATGATCGTTCAACAACTTATAAATAAACACTATATTTCAAAGTGTATTATGAAAAGGGGAAAATTCTATTCCACTTCTTGAAATAGATTACTTTTTGAATACAACCTTGTCTAAGATTAGAAACTAACTAGTTTCTTGGCATTTAATTGTAATTTCGAATATTAATTACGTTTTAATAAAGTGGGGCCCACTAACACATTTAGTTCTCATCTCTATTAGAAAGATGATACAAATAATGGTAAAACTATGCGGTAAGAGTAGTGTTTTTGTCAAAAAAAGTTCAAAGCAATGGTTGAACTACAACGTGGACTAAAAATAAAAAAGCTTAAAAGTGGTAGAGGTGGGGAATATACTTAAATCGAGTTCAAGGAGTTATGTGAGGATATGGGACTACAGAAACAAATAACTGTTGCTTACTGATCATAGCAGAATGGTATTATAGAAAGGAAAAATTAGACAGCGATTGAAATGGCAAAATCCATGTTGCTTGAAAAGAAGATGCCACATTCATTTTGGAGTGAGGCAGTTAAAACTGCAGTCTAACTTCTCAACATATGTCCAATAAAGACACTTGATAAAATGAATCCTTTTGAAGGATTTAGTGGCAGGAAACTCGATGTGAAGCATCCAAGGGTGTTCTATTTGTTATGCAGAGATGCCAACACAATTGAGACACAAACTTGAGGACAACAACACCAAATGCATCTATGTGGGATATAGGAGTTAAGAGAAAGGGTATAGATTTTTCAATCTTGAAACTTACAAGGTCATTATTTTGAGGGATGTCATATTTAATAAAGAAGCTGTTAGGAGTTGGGATAAAAAGATTGAAGATATCATCATCTTAGTACCACTTAGACTTGATGAAGTGGAATGTGAAACACAAACTGAGAGTGAAATTGTGTTTGAAATTTAGTCTCCCCAACATTTAAGTTCAACACCAGAGGACCTAGAAGTGCAAGACTCTCCCTTAGGATTAACTTCATTAAGAATGAGGAGGTTGAGTGAGATTTATGCAACTTGCAACTATCGTATAATGGAACCTGAAAGCTTTGAAGAAGCTGAGAATGACCAATCTTGCAGAAGGCAATGAGTGATGGAATTGTATGATTGAGAAAAACTCAACTTGGGAACTTGTGAATAGACCAATGGACAAACTAGTGATAGGTGTGAAATGCATCTATAAGACCAAACTGAATCTAGATGGCTTCGTACAAAAGAACAAGGTAAGACTAGTTGCTAAGTGTTATTTCCAACAACCTAGAGTGAATTTCAATGAAACCTTTGCTCTAATGGCAAGGTTGGACACTATTAGGACTTTAATTGCTTTGGCCACACATAAAGGTTGGAAATTGTATTCATCTTTGTTGTCAATAGCATACTTGAATAAGGTTTTGTGGTTCCAAATAAAGATGAGAAGGTGTTCAAATTAAGGCAGGCACTGTATGGACTGAAGTAAGCACCAAGGTCTTGGTACAGTGAAATTGACCACTACTTCCGCAAGAGAGGTTTTAGCAAAAGTTCAAGCGAGGTAGCAATTTATATAAAGACGGGAAAAGGCTCAAAAAGCTAATTGTGTTTTTCTATGTTGATGATGCGGTGTTCACTAGAAGCAATGAAGCTATGATTTCTGAACTCATGGAGGATATGACGAAGCATTATGAAATGACTAATTTGGGATTTCTTCATCACTTTCTGGGAATTGGAGTGATTCCAGAATCTAGTGGTATTTTCATACATCAGTAAAAATATGCACAGACCTTACTTGAGAAATTTGGACAAAAATGATGCAAGTCTGTTGCTACCCCATTGATTACAAATCAAAAAGTGTAGAAATGATGGAACTAAAGCTGCCGATGAGAATTTGTACAACAAAATTGTTGGCAGTCTACTATATTTGACAACAACAACAACAAGACTTGATATCATGTTTGTAGCAAACCTACTATCAAGATTTATGCATAGTATAACAAAGACCAAGACTAAAAACCATGTGTTCCATCAGAAGAATAAACACATTAAAGAAAATTTCATTTCATCGTAGAGGCATTGCTGGAAAACACAATTGAGTTGTTGTACTGCAAGTCTGAAGATCAGATTGCATATATTTTCAGCAAAACTCTTCCTAAACACAAATTTATTTATCTGAGAGGACTGCTTGGAGTCAAAGCATAATCCATATAGAAGGGAATGTTGGAGCTAAATGAGATTTGGTTTTGATCCTACAACTTGGAACACAAGAAATTTGTTTGTGTTTGTTTTGCTTGAATTCCATAAGGCTAGTGTTACTTTGTTGTTAGTGAACTAGGTGTGGACTTGGTTTCATTAGACAAGTGTATGCACCAAATTAGTTTTTTAGATTGACGGGCTCAGAGTAATTGTCTTTGTTTGGTAGTGAAGGATAAGAGATAAGAATGTATGAAGGATGCTGAGCTGCTACTATTAGCTCAAGCATTTGATCACTAAAATTCTCTGATTTGTTCTTCATTCTTTTTCAAGATTGCATCACGTATGTACACTAAACTATGGCAGATTTAACATAAACACGATAAATAATCAATACACAGACTGAAAGGTACAAGCTTGCATGGCACCAGATTTAGAAGCAAACCAAATGCCATAAATGAGATCCAAGATTCCAACTCAAATCAAATATGGTTATAATTAAAGAACGTACCCTTAGCTCTGTTGGTTATGGATGAAGTGAGTTGCTCTTCAATATATACGTTCCTTGGAGCACCATTTCAAATCGGTCGTTCTGTAAATTGAGAATAAGCTAATAAAGTAAGAAGGGAGAGTACGTAATAATTTCTTTTTTTCTTGCAAAGTTCTTCTGGATACAATTGCAATTTGCTAACTAAAAGCAAAAACAACTAAGAAATCTAAAAGCACTAAGTTTTATATTTTTCTTCTAATTTGACAACATGTGTACCCTAAAGCTAAATGAAATGATTATCATATGGGCCCTAAACCGCATGTAAAATTGTGTACTTCACTAAAGTCAACTAAAAAAAGATGCAGGTCACCAAATAGGATGGACTAGAAAGTTATGCCCGTGCGTTGCCAGGAGATTAAAAATTGTAAGAGAGATTGTGTTTCGAAGATACAAGGAGTATGCCAAACCACGCAAAAAAAATTTTGCTTCAACGCTAAAAGCTTTTGTCCAGTATGTGTTGGTTGTTAAGGAAGCATCCTAGGCAAGGAAAGAAAAATATTGAAACACACGAAGCAAATTTATATGACAATAGAATCATACTACAGAGAAAAAAAGGATAGAGTATGCTTACCTAGTTTGTTGTTGTTGTGTGGATTGGAGTCTGGTTTTGCACCAATTGGAGAGGACGTTTTTTTTCCAGCAGGACTTCACTACCAACATTCTTAGCTAGATGGTGAACGTTGTATGAGGCATCGTTATTATCCACAAACATGGAATTTGAAAAGATATAACTATAAATTCAAGCTTGAACCAACTTCTGCCTATATACAATGAAAAAAGCAAATCATAATTTCAATTCAGTCCCTCATCAGAATGTATAAGATAATGTGAATTAAAAAAATTGACCCAAAAAAAGATTAAAATTTTGATATTTATAAATCTCAAAATCACAAAACTCCCAAATTTAAACAAAACAAACTCCACATATGTGTGTTTTTCATGTTATAAACTCGAGTAGAATAGGCTTACATACAGTTGTTATAAAACAACACTTGTACCAAAATTCACTCACATTCTTAGTTGTAAGTTGTTGATTTGGTAAAAATTGGTGACTCATATAATGTATTGATACATTCATAGTATTTTTAATCAATTTTTACATACAATTAATAATATGGTTGTATATTTGCACTCGTTCTTTTCTAAATTTCTGTTCTCAGATTTTTATTCATTATTACTTCGTAAGTAAACAATTTTTTTTTAAAGGCAGAGAATGCAATAAATTACATATTCACTTGGCTAGGAAAACTAAAATCAAATAAGTTACTAAATGCACCAACAAATATAGTAAAGCTAATTATCCATGAATTCCCAAAAAAAAAAAAAAAAAAAAAAAAAAAAAACTGAAAACTGTAGTAATGCTGAAAAGCATATCCAACGAAAGGAATGATAATTTTTTTTTTTTTTTATATTAGAAATATCTTCAATTTTTATAATTATATACTTGAGTTCCAAATGGCATAGGAAATTACAAAAAAAAATAGAAAGAAGGAGAAAATGTGAAATTCCCAGATTAACATATGTCCTGCTATACTGAAGTATAAAGAACTCTAGTAATCACCTTGCTTATGGTAAAAAAAATAGTTTAAATAATGTTTTGTTGGAAAATAGCATTAGCATGCCAACTGTCATCGACTTGAGCACTATGGAGAGAATAATTTGCTTCAGTGTTCCGGAATTTGCAGACATTTGAAGCACATCGTAAATTATTGTTCTGTGTCACTACCAATGGAGTTGAGAATAGCTGGCAGCAAAAAAAGAGCAAATAATTTGTTATTAAGCATGCAGACAATATATTTCACACTTATCAAAACAATTATTTCTATCTAATACAAATGAAAGCAGGCTAAATATCTACCTTATTTAAAAAAGAAGTCTAATTTATGGAGAGGAAATTGATGCAGAATGGTTGTGCAATTGCTGTTCTTCTTTGCTAGTTTATATAGACAGTGGACACCTATGTTTACCCGCTTGCTTTCTACAATGCAAGATTCTTTCCTCATATTACCAAAACGATTTGCCTTGATGCTGCTGTTTACTCTCCTCGGACGAAAGGAATAGCAAGTTTGAGTGGTGAATCTATAGTGGCAGTGTCGGCAAGCAACTATTTTTTATAGAACGTAAACCTTGTTTCCAGAATCTCACATCAACAAGCACGATGGCTTACGAATCAATCCTCGACAGCAGAAACAAAGCATATACGTCACGTTGAAGCGGTATTTGGCATTCGTGCCGCTGTTCTCTTAGGCAATTATTCCTTTTTTTTTTTTAAAAAAAAAAAATTATATTTAGTCTCTAGATACTAATGTTCTTTCATTGAGATCTTATTGACTTTTTGGTTTTAATTGAAGTCTTTGACATTAATTTATTAACGTAGAGATTGGACAACTCCGTTTTCCTAAGTGAGGATTCCGGGGATTCTCAAATCACATTCATTCATCGTACATTGTGCGGTTATAAATTATTATAATTTTTTATATTTAAAATTAAATATAAACAATATCTGACAAAAACTGATCATACAATGTACGATGAACAATTATAATTAAAGAATCTTTAAAATCCTCGTAAAAAGGATCAAGCGAGAATCCAAAAGGTTTTGCCTGTATGCGTTTTGATTTACCAAGATAGGAATATGGTGACTTCTTATCAAAAAGATTTTGATAAGAAGTTATTGTTTTGAGAGAGTAAATGAGGCGTGGAAGAGAGGAATTAGTGGATTGCAATGATGAGTCGGATTGGCGCATGATTGATGCGCTGAAAGGGAGGAAACTCGCCAAAAGGTAAAGGAAAGGGGATAGGCTGAGGGAAGTGGGGTCTTGCCTGATGAGTTGTCGGTCACTCATGTACAATCCCAATTGCATTATTTTGATAGGTCTTTTGATAGGACGACATTGATCTGGACTGTTGGTTGATCTAACTGTCTTAATTTAAAATTATTAATTATTAATTTTAAATTTATAAATACATTTAATATAATGGATGAAGTTGAATATGATATATTTAACTATATATAAAATAAAATAAAAAATCTAACAGTCTAAAATTAAATCAAAATGCAATGCTTTGTTTCAGAAAATAATCAGTTTAGTGTTTTTTCATTATATATCAAAATCTAATATTTTTAAGTAAAAATGTTTTTGAAATTAAATTAGAATAACCTACATAATTTTTATTTTTTAAAAAAGTTACTTAATGGACATAATTCAACTTAAATTCATTTCTTAATAATCTTTGGTTAAAAATTTAACCCATAACGGTTGGAACAAATTTTTTTTTTCTTTTAGTCAAAACCTAAATTTTTGTTCCCAATGTTTGGAGATGGTCTTATTATAGGTATAACTAGAAATTACGCCCGCGCATTGCTGCAGGAACTAACTGTTTTAGACATAATCGATTGAATAAAACACATTTAAGTTGAATAAGAATGTCCCCATGATTAGTCTTCTCGTTTATTTTTCACAAACCAATCACATATTTAAAATCCAAGTACGAAAGCTTTGCAAAGATAAATTAAAAATTTATATAACTAATTAGACTTTGAACATGCAATCAAGGCACATAATCGTATACCTAAAAATAGTAAGGAACCGGCTTCTTCCTCTCACAACCAGAGTTCCTGAAATATCCAAAGAAAGTAAATCTGTTAGCAATTCAGAGAAATTGGAGGACCAAATCATATCAGGAAAATTTTACCGATTGCAAATGATAAATGTTACGAGCATGGAAAAAGCATAACCAATTTTAAATCAGCTTGTCAGGTATGCATTGATTCCAGATTCAAACCATCACTTCCGTTTAGTATGTTGTTTATCATTTTGTGATCAGAACACTGTCGGGCGGTGTTACTATTGTGAATGTTATGCGAGAAAGCAAAGAAAATTCTAATGGGAGAAAGCAAAGTTAAGGTGAAGATTTTGGTTTGTCCTTTAGCTTTCAATAATCTCACTGCTAATTAGGGGTTTTTCTTCATATGTTTTCCTTCGTGTTCAACTTCCGATTTCACTCAATTTTATGTATTTGGTGAACGCCTTCTTTGTTTTACAAAATGTTTCTATATTCCCAAATAGTTGTACCAAGAACCAACACTACTTAGATCACACGGATGGTACTTGGACCTAAAAAAAGAATGGTCAAACGGATCTTTTCTCAAAGTCAAATCTCAATTGTACAAATGACTGATTTTTTTAATGTGTTGTTAACGTTTGATCGTTTTATCTTCAAAATATTATTGCTGTATCATTAACATTTGAACACTATATTGCCAATTTTAGTTTTATCTTCAATTTATTGGCGGAGAGAATGTTGCGTCAAGATGATCTTGGAGGCCGTCAATGTACACGCTACTATTAGGCACACCTTCAACAATATTTCTAACACCGCAATAGCGGGCGGGTACACCGGCATATGAAAACTAAAAATCAAGCAAAAAATTATTTTAAATTATTCGAAATTTAATTTAAAATGGGCAAAAGATTGTCTTGGTTAAAACCCAAAACCATTACACACAGAAATAACAAACATGTTAACAAGAGAACTAACTATGCAGCAAAGTTAATTCTTTATATGTATTGAGTGTAGTTTTGCCACGACCACCACGATCCATCAGCAACATCTGCATCACCTTCGCTCTCTTTGTTAGAATCATCATATCTTCCGTCATCATTAACATTGTCATCCTCACCAACACCATCATCTGCATCAACAGTATCATCTTCATCCTCATCACCACCCCAAATAATCTTCTGTTATCTGTACTCCTTGTAGTTCTGGGGAACTCTTCCACTCAAAGCTGTTAATCTTCAACTTAGGGCATTCGTATATATTTACAGTTTTCAAGGATGGGAATTTGACAATGCAATTTCCAGAGAAGAAATCTTGCAGACTTGGTAGAGAGGAAAGGCTCAAACTTTTCAACTGGCAAAAAGAAATCTCACCATAATTTCCTGCATCATCTCCATCTGATGTCGTTGCCCCTATTTCTGTCATTCTTTCACATCTCCCAACCCTCATTGCTCTTAGCCGCTTTAAAGTTTTGGCTATCGTATATGTTGCTAAATATTTCAAGTTGCAACAACCAACTACTTCCAAAGTTGTTAAATTCTGGAAGGAAATAGCAGATGACCCTATACCCTTCAATGCAGAACAACCATATTCTTTTGTTGACACTATCTCTTCCATTGATACACGATTTCCAGCCATGGAAGACGATAACACAAAAGTTAAACTATTACAATCACGCACCACCAAGGTTATTAAGTTTCGCAACACAACCTGCAGTATTTGTACATTCCATTTTAAGAGAAGAGAATTCACATTAATTGTTATTATCTAGTCAAATGGTATCTTTAGATAAAAAAAAATTATACCAACAAATATTTCTTAATGCGCACTAGATAAAATGAATCACTTCAAATGATCAGATATATGTAAATTTAGCCACACAAAATCTAGGAGTTCTATGGTGGTTGTATCATTTTTCTTTGTAAATTATATCGCTCAAATAAAAATAAAAAAACAAGTACTAATGGCATAAATGGGAAAGAATGACACTAGTGGCATACCTCCTCAGTAATGATATGTGTGCATTGGGCATTGTTTTGGACATCGAGATGCTTGAGTTGTTGAAAATCTTCACTATTTGAGTGGTACACAACATTATCAGCTCCCTCCGACCCATCCAAATACAAATCTTCACATGATCTCTTCAGCAACATTTCTAGACCATGGTCCAATACACAGCCAGTTGGGAGCTTTAGCTTCAATGTGTTGAGGGTTTCATCCACACCGTACCAGTTGGAAGCACCGATTAATATTTGGTATCTTTTTAACTTGTCAGTGAACAAGTTCCTCGGAATACTGCCAGCATCTGGAACATGTATGCTTAATGCAGCTAAACGAGGCAAGTCCTTCAGTTCTGAAAGGCTAGCATTACTTCTTTCTCCGGTTACTCCTTCGGGCACCCATCGGTTGAAGCTGTTTTTCATTCTCAAGTCTTCTAGACTTGTCAAACGTGATATAACATTAGGTGAAATCACTTTGAGTTTATAGCAGTCCTTTAAATCGAGCAGTCGAAGACGAGTCAATTTCCCTATTTCTTGAGGCAACTCTTCAAACTTGGAATTTATAAAGCTGAGAATTTCTAGTTGCAATAGCTGGCCGACTAGAGTTATGTCTCCCAACACGCAATGATCCAAACACAATGTACGAAGATTTTCTAGGAGCAGAAGAGATGGAGGCAGCGACGAAATACGCGCCCCGGTTAAACCCATAACTTTAAGCTCTTTCATCTCCTCAAAGAAGTTACCTGGGATTTCATTATTAAAGTACAAATAAAAATACTCCAGTTGTTGGCATTTCAAAACTTCAGGAAGCCTAGGGATGTTTCTGCAAGACAAAGAGATCATTGTGCAATTTTCAGAAAAATCCTTATTGTTTGGCCATTCCTTCAAGACATCTCCTCGTGCTCTTACTAAGGCACCGTGGCCTTTGGATGCAATCGAGATGGCAACATCACGTAACAAATCATGCATTGTGATTAATGTATTATTCTCGGTGTCGAGTAACAGAGCAGAATCTTTAAGCTCTTCAATCCACGCGTGCAATGCATATCGTGCATCCTCCACTGAATCGAAGTTCTTAAACAAACCCAAACCAATTGTATATTTCAACAAGTCTGTCAGATTAGCGTATGCGCTACGATTTACCATAATTCCACAGATCAAGAATAGTCGCTTCAGCTTTTGATCATCCAATTGATTGTAACTCCACTCTAAAGCCGAGTATGCTTCTTGTTCGGCTGGGTCTTCGTTGTCAAACACTTTTAGGCGACCGAAGGCATTCTTCCATACTGGTAAAGTACTTCTATTTCTTAAAGAGCTTGCGACTGTGACAACCAAAAGTGGCAAACCTCCGCATTTTTTGGCTACATCGGTTGCCACAATTCGTATGTCGGGATTTTTAACAACATCACCTGCTTTCGTCTCAAATAAACGCCAAGCTTCATTCTCGTTTAAAACTCGAAGCTCAAAGTCTTTTTGCAACCGCTTCTCTGAGGATAGCAGTTTTCGAGTTCTGGATGTCAAAAGTATTCTACAATTCGGCAGACAAGGAAGTCCTACCGCTTCCAAGTCAATGCTTTCCCAAATGTTGTCTAAAATTACAAGAACTTTCTTGTCTTTGACCCTGTTACATAGATGAGGTGCTCTTACTGACAGAGTTTCGCTTTCTTGAACTTCCATACCCAACTTTCTGGCAATTTCTTTTTGAATTCCTTCAAGGTCCGGATTTTGCACACTTCTTACCATAACCGCATCAGCAAATAACTTTTCTTTTACAGCTTGCCTAAGGACTTGTTCAACCAGTGTGGTCTTCCCCACGCCTCCAATACCATACACCAAAATCAGGTCGGTATTAGGAATTCTCAGTTCATCCATGATTTCCTTTACAATTGAAATCCTCGAATCAAATGCCTCATAATGTTTGTCAGATACCACGGATACCTCTTGTGGGCGGACATTGTACGAAATGCTAGAGAAATCTGTTTTTGCGTAGAGTTCAACGAGTTCAACAACCGCCTGCTTCAACTTTGTTGATGTCCTGCCTAGCTTGTATCGGAGCACCGGGTTTGGACAAACCCCACGGAGACAGCTCATCTTTGCTTGCGTATCAGGCTTCCGTAATTCGTTCGCCTCCTCGGTGATCTTATCCGCGTCTTTCCGCCAGTTCTGTACATCAGTGTGGATTGTTTCACCTCTTTCTTCAGCTTCTACAACCTTGAGCACTAGCCGCTCTCTAGCGGCACTTAATTTGTCCACTTCAGTCTGTAGTTTCTCAAGTTTGCTTTTGCAGTGAGTTAGGTAACCCACTTGGCGTCTAGCTGGTTCAACTGCATACTTGTCAACTATTTTGACAATTAGACTAACAATCTCCATGCCTGCTCATGAATACAAATTAAATTAGAAGAAAAGGATCTCAAGAAATACTTTTCTTTTCTAATTGACTTATGAGTTATGATCTTTCAACAACTTATAAATAAACACATTATGAAAGACGGAAAATTCTATTCCACTTCTGGAAAAATATTACTTTTTGAATAAAACATTGTCAAAAATTAGAAACTAACTCTAGTTTCTTGGCATTTAATTGTAATTTTCTAATATTAATTACGTTGTGTAGGATACATTCATACCAAAACTAGTGTGGGATACATTTTTACCTATACTTGTATAAACATCATAGTGCTCTCTCACATTTTCTTGAATAATCATGTTGGATTCTAAGAAATCTGATGGACAAACGGTAAGAACGCTTACCGTTTTTATAAGGTCATGTCAGTTTGTTTAAATGGCTTTTCCATTTGTGTTTTCATATTTGTAAAAGAACACATTTATTTGTTTAAAAACTTCCAATCGACATACATCATTTTATGAAAGATAAATAACCCAATTCCAAATTCCTTTGAAAGGTTATATGTCTAATGGCCTTGCTTCAATTCCAACCAACCAAGAAACATCTTCATCATCAAATAGCCACAATAATAATACATATAATTATATCTAAAATTTTACAACACCCTTCACTTTTCTCCCTATTTTTTGGATTTCAATTCGAGCAGGGCTTGACAAAAAGTCAATTTTATATTCCATTATTTAAATAATTCCCTAAAAGCTAAAACCAACCAATGAACGGGGAGCTAAATGAGATTTGGTTTTGATCCTACAACTTGGAACACAAGAAATTTGTATGTGTTTGTTTGCTTGAATTCCATAAGGCTAGTGTTATGTAGCTGCTAGTGTTACTTTGTTGTTATTGAACTAGGTGTGGACTTGGTTTCATTAGACAAGTGTATGCACCAAATTAGTTTTTTAGATTGAAGGGCTCAGAGTAATTGTCTTTGTTTGGTAGTGAAGG